GTTCATTAAGATACTAATGTTTACAATAACCACTAATCGTGAATTCTATTGATATTTAATTGAATCGAATCTAATCGATTTATTATCAAGTAGAAACACACTTAAACAGAAAAATCCAGTCTACCCATTTTATTTGTTATCATACATCATATAACCTTTCCAGCAATCCCGATACCCTATTTTTTAACAAAAGCAGAAAATCCGACATTATTCTTTCCAGTAGCATATGTAGATATTAGTGTACTCAGTAACGTACGTAATTTTGGACTGATAAAAAATAAAGTTCGGAGAAAGTAAATACCATAACTAACTAAAATTGAGTAAAATATTAGTAATAGTCGACCATGGCACAACTTTGCCAGCTGTACGATTATACTTCATGAAAAGATAAATTTCATGTTGATTTCGTCCATTATTGTTATTTTTTACTATCTGCCATCATGATATTTGTGGATGGTATTCCATAATTGTGCTATGGCTCTCACTTTGCCAATCGCGTAAATAATTGAATGTGTGTTTGCATTCCTTGATTAAATCAACATTTGTCTGGATAATCTTTCAATAGTAAGTGAAGCGTCATTATTAGTTGTAATAGACATTACTCATATCTACAGTACAATTGTAACTAATATAATATAATAACCATCGCAAGAAACTTCCTGGGAATTATACTACAGTTCTTGTCTTAGCTTCATATTTCCCTCTCTAGCAGGCGCGAAAGGCCAACACAGCGGCATCGTCCTTGGCAGGGATTTTTATCTCGCTTCCCTTCACAGCTGGGGAAGTATCCCGCTCTGTGAAGAGATCCCTAGACAGAATAGACTAGTGTGAACTAGCGCCGATATAGTGCACGGAGGCGGGAGGCAGATCATGCTGCGATTATATTATCATATACCACTGTAATACTGAGGTTGATAATGTTTTTAAACCTTGATTATAAACTGGCAATTCATTATTATCATTGTCATGTGTTCTACTTTATATCATCACCATTATATCATTTTGGTTATAATTATCGTTGTCTTAATTGTCATCGCCATCATTATCGTCATCGTTATTCTTATTATCATTATTATCATTATTATTATTATTATTATTATTATTATTATTATTATATTCCTTCTCATACTTCTCATGATATCGTCATATTTATCATGTCAATTATCATCGTTATGAACATCATCATGGTTCTTATCATTAATGACCAGGATCATTCAGTAACTGAATCATGATCATTGTTATTATTCTTTATCATTATCATTGTCATTTCCATTACCATTGCCATTATTGATATTTTCTAAACGACCTCAAACACATTTTTTTTAAATTGGTTTTCATCATGTTGCTTCCCAAGAGTAACGGGGGAGCCAGTGTTTAAGTGCCCTCCCCTCTCCCGAATATAAACGTCTTTACGAACAGTCAGCATGAAGATTTCTGTGGATGTATCATTTATCCCAAAAATATAACCATGGATAAAAGGAAGAAAGGATGTACTTTACACAAATTGGTCGCCTAAGGTTGCAGACGGTAACATCTTTATGATTTGCCAAAGCTGGATTGCAAATTAACAACTTGTCAGGATCACAGGATGTCGTACTTAACCCTTCCTTTCAGCCGGAAAAAGTTATCTTTCAACGACTGTGATATTAAATTTATACCACAAAGGGATATTAATAGGGTTATTATTATCACCGTACTTCATCCCAAACCTTATATTCATCAGAGGTCTTATCAGGTTTAAGTAGTAAAGATCCGACAAAATTGACATGATATTATATCCTGCACCCCCAAGACACCCCGAGGAAGTAGTCATTTAAGCGAATTCTTTGCATGGAAATCATGTTAAGAAAAAGGATGAAACGGGATGGTGAAGCTTTATATAGAAGGATAAAAAAAACAATCGATTCTTCACGGATGGAACATAGCGGCTTGGAGTAATATAGCATATATTTGGCTAACACGTCCAAGTACTGGAAAACTAAAGGTCTGGCAGTGCAGCTCTTTATTCGCATTAGGTACCCACATCACTGGTAACTCCCATCACAATACGTAGGTCCATTACGTTGCTACTGCCCTACATAATTTTAAGGTAAAAAAGTTGTCTTTTTAAATCTACTTTGGATTTTATTACAATAGTTACCTTATTAAAAATATATATTGTAAGTACATTATCAGTATCTAAATAATATATATATTATCTTCGAATATTACAGGGCCATCGATGAGATACCGTTGCTCATTCATTTTCTGTGGACACAGAATTGTTTTCTAGAGGAGTGGGAGTTCCTTTCATACAGAACTCAAAATGGACCCTGGAATGTTGCAAATCCAGGTTAAGCTTAGAAAAAGACATTGCCAATTTGTAAAATCTGTTCGATTGCAAGTTCAGTTCCAAAGCTAAAACATGCCACAATCAGACCATGGCAAAGGACCTTCAAAATAGGACCACCAAAAAAGCTGGGCTCATGGATAACCCGTGGGTGCTGGCATTATGATAAACATCAAATTACTGAAAGGTCTTCAACTTTTAACATATACCTTTGCAGTCTGTTTCGTTATAACAACAAGTCTGACAAATAACAATATAAACAATTGCAAGAAAAACAATAATAACTAAAGGAAAATAAGAATACTTGCGGATCCCTGGTCACGACCCTCGTTACGAGTAATTCCTCCTCTGCTGCCCCGTGAATACCTAAAAGTGCGATACATCCAATCT